AATTTATATATAATTATATGAACAGACGATACTAAACTCAATTTATCCGCCTAAACGTCCGTAGCGTGGCGCTACGGACGGCGGGAAAGTAGTTCGGCTGCCCGATGACGTTTTACGTATTATAGGAGTTATTTTTACCGTTGTTTACAGATACTGCCACAATTTTTATAGGAATCATAAATGTAGGAAACAGTTTTATAGGGGGATCTACTGTATTTTGTTAAACAGGGAATGATGTTAATAAACTTCTTACATGCAATCCAAGATTGAACTCATCTTTACTTACTAGAAGAAGAAAACCTCTTCTATGCAATATTTATCACAGTACTACATTTTATTGTTTACATTAAAAAGTGTAAAAAACAACCATTATTGGAAATAAGGTTATTTCTTAGGGGTTGTGACTTAATTTATAGTTTGGTTTAATGAATTCTGGTAAAATTTTTGTTTGCTTTATCGCATGAAAATTAATGCTGTGATAATGGCAGTTTGCCAGGGCAAAGGCAAAGTTCACTTAATCAGTGTTTGTTTTAAGGAAAGTTGATTGTAACTGCTTAAACTTACCTATTAGATATCATCATAAACAGTATATTTAAGAATGAAGAGCAATATAAGCTATAAATAATTTTCAATTATTATTAAATCAAGTAATATAATAAAATGCACAACTATACTAATCCTGTAATTTTCATATAGTTTGTGACTTTTAGTGAAATTATCTCCCAGTCTATTAAATAAACATCAATTCCTTTAACTACTCATACAGGAACAGAAACATAAAGACTATCATGAATGTAACACTTGGGAGACATTTTCAGAAAATGTCTTCATCCTCTCCCAAATGTTACATTCCCAATATGTAATATTAAGAAAAAAAATTGTTACAAACTCATTAACTAATGAAGTAAAGTATAATTAAAGATTTTTTTTACATTACTAGTGTGTATAATTATTTTAGTCTGAGAGAAATGAAAAAGTTGCAATTATTGAAATAATAAAGTGATTTAGAGTAAATCAGAAATAGATATATCACAATTACAGCTTAATGGCAAAATCATTCAATGATAGTTTCCTTACTTCACTGGCTGGTGTCGAAGATGATGACGACATGCCATTTCTAGTTCTCCCAGCTGTAACATTAATCTGAGCCTATGGTATTGTAACAAAGATAAATAAAATTTCTTTGGTAATGCTTTATTGCTTTTACTGTACTAAATAAAGTGACAAAAGGATTTAATTTAACCAAATTAAAAATAAAATTTTCAATGTATATTTTTGAATTAATTCTTACTACTTAATAGTAATTAAATTCATTTAATTAATATAAATGTTGCATCTATCTTTGTGTAAATAAATTAATATATAAACAAACACAAGATATTTAATCACAATTTGCTTTAGATTTGCATAGATTCTTACCTGAACTGGTACTGTTGTATGAAATACTGTAGTTGGTTGTGACGACGGCATCACCTGGACACGGAGTGTGCGAGGTGGTGCAAGATTATAATTAACAGTTAGATCACTAATGGAATGATAAGCATGACTTATATAGTGAAGTACTCTAGAAACTTTATTAAACATATTGTGTGTTTCTGCTGGCTAAAATTAAAAGTTGTAAATATACATAATTTTATAAATGTAACAAATATGAAAGTTTAAATTTGGTCTAAAATATTTCTTACATTGGAGCCAACATCAGGATCATCTCGCAACAGCTGAGAGTAATTCTGCAGAAATGGTTGGAATCTGGTATTTAATCGATTGAGATCATCCAATAACGAAGCTAATGCTGTCGTAGGAGGGTGGCTAAAAACAAACAAAATGCTAGTTTGTATTACAAAAATATTTTGAAACTTAATTGACAAAAAAGTGTTTTTCCAAATGCACTGTTTACTTGGAATCAAGTGTTACTAAAACAAAAAATATAAATTTGTATTAAAAAGACATTTTTCATGTATATAAAATCAACATGCTTTACATGAAAATTCTTAATTGATAACAGAATAATTTTAAAAACCGATTTAAATCTCTAAATGATAAGATAACATCTGTATTAATTTAGTTAATTACCTATAATATGCCAATCCCAATAAAAAAAGGGATCCTATGCTGTGTACGGAAAACCAGAATCTGTGCTATGTCACTATACAGTGAGTGAACTGCTTTGAAAAATTAAATGTCAGGACATTTTAGTTAAAATTCACTAATAGGAATATTACTGTTTTAAAAAAATGATTGACAGATAATAGTTTTTAATGTGTAACATCACAAAAAAGCATTAACTGTACCAACTAAAATCTTTTATATTAAAGAAGAGAAACTCTCACATCTTGTACTTTATTATGTAATATTTGTTTTTGTAATAATTATAAAATATGTAAATTTATATTCTAAGGAATGTATAAATTTGTACAGTTCTTAAATTTTAATTAAAATCTATTTTATTAATGCATATTCTAATCTAAAAAAGCTTTAAAACACATTACCTTTTTTTGATTTAAAGAACTTTTCAGTCTCTTTTCTTTATATTATTGACAAAACTGTTTCACTCTTAATTTTAAGATTGAAGTTCTATATTTTATATGCAATATTATAAGTACACAACCAATTGTATACACTGAAACTTCTACCAACACACACATTTTTTAACACAGCTCACAAAAAATATTCAAGCACTTGTCACTACTTGTGATGAGCTTACCTATTTTGCAGTGACTATGTTTCAGCTCTTGGTAACATATGAATAATCATGCAGCCAACTACACTGATCAGTCTATCAGCACATTTCCCCCATTATGTGGTTTGTTTATACACAGCACTGAAAACTCAGGATAAACTGCATTTTTAGATGGAAGTTTCTGTCATCTCTCATACAATCCAAATGTACAGTCGGACTTCCAATGTCTTGTCTCTTTCCACATTTGAAAGATTACTTGGACAAAATGTTATTTCAAATCAATTAGAGACAAAACATGCAGCTATCACATGGTTAAATCATTACAGATGGGAATTTTATGTTGATAGAATGGATATGTTTATTGTACAGTACATAGCAGCAACAACTGTGTGAATATTTTTATAACTATACTGAAAATACTCTATTTGTTGAAGTTCACTTCATACACCCAATTGGTTGCAAACATTAAAAGTTACTGCATATAAAACAAATCTTGTAATCTTATTTTCCAATCCAATCATCATATATATCAGACAAAATGACCAGATCAATTTACCTACATTTTCAGTAATCTGAGTAGCCACCCTAAGGATCAAATGAACATTTGTCTAATAGAATTCTTTTAAATTTAAAATTTCTCAAACAATAGTTACTGCTGTTGATTTTTATTTTTACTATGTTTAACTTTCAAATCATCAAATGTCTTATTATTTAAAAAAATAGTGTTAATTGAAAAGTAACAAACACAATAATTCGCATCTTTAGTATGATTAGCATTTAAGAAAAAAGTATGAAAGATTCAAGAGAAAGTATTTTGAGAAAGACAAAATGGCCAGAAGATTTCAAAGATAATATTTAAGGTAAGGTTTTTTCTGTCAACAAATTAAATGAGCATTCCTTTATATTGTTAAGAATGATAAAACATCACATTTTGATAAATTAATTATTGCCTTATCATTCTTACATATGAATATAATATAAATCTAAATTACAGAATTAAATAGAAAAATATACAATAAGCCATACATAATTTCACGACGTGATCTGCCACTGGGATTTGGTGCTGTTCCACTACTTGAAGAGTTATTTGTTTGATTTTGTGTAGTACTTCTGTTAGATGTCTCCGTTGACTCTCGTAAATTTGGCTGAACATCTCCATTTATATTTCTGCTTCCATTTGAAGTAGCACTTCCAGTTGCATTTCGTGTGCCAGCTAGTGAAAAAGTAAAATTTCTCGTAAAGTTCTCAATTCAATTTTTATTGCAAAAATATATACTAATGTTTCTTACTTGAAGTAGTTGATCCTTGAGTGAATCCTGCAGCATTAGTAGCTGCCCTAGCTGCAGCTGCTGCAGCACCTGCTGCTGCTGCTACGGCAGCCGCCACAGCTGCACGAGCAGCTTGTGCCAAACCTTCTCCATATCTCAAAGAACCGCCAGAAGAGGTGTTTTGATTCGATTCTGTTGCATCAGTGTTAGTCATAGGAGCAGCTCCTGTTGTAATTGGTATACTACCACTTTGAGATGAAAGAATGGCAATTCCAGGAATCTGAAATTAAAAATTACAATTTAGCTTAATTTAAAATAAAGTTTAAATTTTTTAAACACTTATCACTGCAACACACATTAAACATTGAAGAAAGACCAGCAGTAAGAGATTCTTCAACTGAAGATGTAGTTTCACGTGAAGCTTCAGATTCTTGTTGTTGAGCTTCCTGTTGTGGAGTCTCTCTCATTTCTGCTTCACCTCCTTGATCCGTTTGCATAGGTGTATCAGTAGGTTCAGATCCTGTAGAACCACTCTGAAAGAGATTCAAATTATTAAATAAAATACACTTATTTCAAAGTATTTCTATTCTTATATTCTTTTGTTTTAAGAAGTAATCAACTGCAATTATTAAAGCTAAAATTATTAGCCATGTCAAATTTCCACCATAATGTTTTTTAATCAAAATTTTGATACTTTTTCAATATATTATTTTACATTTTCTTCTTTTCATAACTGCATCATATATATAATTGAAATAGAATTTCAACTAAACTACTGTCAATTTCTTTAGAATATATATAAGAAAAAATATCTTATTTTCCATTTTATTACTCTTGCAACACACTAATAAATATATAAGTTTTAATTCTTGAAATATAGGAAAATTTATGGAAACTATAAATATAGATGTTTCAAGCAAGAAAAAGCAATATTAGAAGTTAAAAAGTATAGAATTATCAGATATGAAACTATTCTACACAGATTTAAAACAAAATCAATAAATATTAAAGAATGAATAAAATAGACTATTCAATACAAAATCATGACTTCTATACTAAGATTCTTAACATATACTAGACTCTTCCTAATTTGGCCATTCCTTGCACAGTCGTGCCAGATTATCTAGTATGAATAGGCAAAAAGCCTGCTTAAAAGCAAATGTATCAAGTGACATGTTGCTCTTCGATTTGATGTGATGTAATTGTTTTTTTACGTTATACTGTTTTTGTTATTGTGAAATCACAGTGATATAGTAATTTAAATTTCATATAGAACTGAATTTACAAGTTTACTCTTTATAATAAAAAAAAACATAACTAACTAAGAGAAATGCATTACAAATGAAGATATACCAGATAACTGAGGGGTTGGATTAGCAAATGTGTGCTATATTGCATTCAACATTTAATATAGCTTATAAAATGATCATTATCATGTAAACACATTTAAATTAAATAAAAATTAAAAAACAGTCTAAATGTCATTTGCATATCCAATATATAAAAAAATATACGAAATATGAATTTAAAAAACACATACATCTATTCTTTTTTATAGCAACTTATTTTTATTTAAAATATGCTTTCTTCCTAATCAGTCTCTTTCAGATATCAATGATTACCATTGCAGTTATAATAATAAAACAAAAATCATATTACTGAAATGTTAGCAAACATTTCTGTACAGGTATACCTCGCCTTACGTCGGTAATTGGTTCCAGGAAAACGACGTAAGTCGAATTTACCTGTCTCCGAATCTACTTATCACTAGGAAAGCATTTTAAATAATATATGGTTAATAAAAATCTATTTTAAGCTTACAAACAAATAAATTTTAGTTTTTAATATAGTACAAAAAAAGTAATCTAAATTTACGAATGCGTGTACTGTAAATACAGTACATACTTGTATATATTTTAATATGATTTTATGTGCTTTAAACGTTTATCTAGTGATATTACGACTTCAATATTTGTGGCGGACAGACGTAAAGTCGAATAAAATGACTTAAACTTGATTTTTATTTTTCCATATACTTTTTT